GTTTATAGTTGTGTTATTTGACTGCTTTGATAATTATAACAAATTACACTCAAAGAAGACAGGATTCTGTTGCCCTCTTGTGGTAATTTTGCTGTAGTATCTTCTCCAGGAATTTCGCCTCAATTTTTTTCTTTTCCCTTTAATGGTCAGTCCCTTTAACAGACCCATAAACAGCCAGACCATAGTTTCTGAATTTATAAAAGCAGTATATATATTCTTTGCCCTCTCCAGTGCACATACTTAATGCCCTCCCTTCAGTTTCTACGTCAGATAGTGGTTCCCTCACTTTCTTAAGAAATGTTCTCTTGGGCGCCTGGGTGGCTCAGTGGGTTAAGCCTCTGCCTTCGGCTCAGGTCATGATTTCAGGGTCCTGGGATCGAGGCCCGCATAGGGCTCTCTGCTCATCGGGGAGCCTGCTTCCTCCTCTTTCTCTCTATGCCTGCCTCTCTGCATACTTGTGATCTCTCTCTCTCTGTTTCAAATAAATAAATAAAATCTTAAAAAAAAAAAAAAAAGAAATGTTCTCTTGTTCCCTTCCAATTCTAAACCAAGGAGATTTTTCTTAAAGTATTTTCTATAGTCTAATGCACATACAAAATAATTAGAGCAAATCTCCACCTCATAGATAAGCTTCAAGTAAATGGAAAATAACTAAAAATGTAGGAGGCTGAGCTGTTGGCATTTTCTCCCAAGAGAACGAGTCTTGCTAAATCAATTAACAGTCCAGAAATTTCAGAAGCTGATGATATTGTTCTAAATATTTTAAGTTTTTGAAAGTGATAAAACGGTCTTTAAAATAGCCTAGCTCATATGCAATGGCTTATCTCTTGGCACCCCCAACCAAAAAATTTTAGCTTCTTCGCAAAATGAGTAACACATAACAGTAATTCAAAACTATTCAAAATGACACTATGAAATAATTTTAACTATAAATAATTAGTACTTTCCTAAAAAATAATTTATTAATCATAAAATTATCTAGTGTCTAATATAATTTAAACACTATGGAAAATGCAAAGCAAAAGATGGATTCTTAAATTAACTAAAAATCTACTCTTACAACTGTAAAAATTATTCTTAAATATTGATAAATGATAAATCCTTAAAGCAATTCTTAAAAGATATATATCTCATATATATTTAAAAGCAGTCCCTCGTGTATTCAATCAATTCTTATCCCAATACTAATGAGGAAAGACTAGAAGAACATTCTATGAAGAAGGGCCAGAACATTCTAAAGCAAGGTAACACAGTATGTCTCAGTAACTTAAGATGCTTTAGTAAGGCTATGGCACAGATTATAATTTGGAAGCAGTGGGAGATGACATTGAGAAGTTAGCGGTAGCCAGATTGAAAACGGACTTCAATGCTAAGTTAAGGAATGGGGAAATACAGTAAAGTATCTGCAACAGGAGAGTACAGTGGGAAAATCAGAGTTTTAGAAAGATACTTGCTGCAGTATGAAGGACAGATTGATGAGGGGGTCAGAAGAAGACAAGGAAACTACTTAGAAGTTGTTTGCAATGACAAAGGCCTGAACCAAGGCAATGGCTCTGACCATAGAGAGGAGAAAAGAAACTTGAGAAATACTCAGAAGTGAAATCATTAGGTGTTAGTTGCTATGAGAACGTGGGGATAGAGGTGGGAGGTTCTCAAGCTCATGCTGGACCTCTCGTGACTAGGTGAATGTACCATTACCAGAGCCAGGTAATAATACTTTTGGACATGCTGCATTTGAGATGCCACCTGGGAACAGCAAGTAGATCAACAATTTTAAAGATACGGAATTCAGGACACAGAGAACTCTAAACTATCAGTGGCTAGGTTGTAAAAGGAATCTGGATGACAGATCATTTAGAGAGTATAAAGAATACAAAGAGATTAAGGTTGAGGATGGGACTGGAAGCCCTTAAGTACATAGTTCCATCTTCTTGTTAAGAGAAGTCCTTTAATCCTATAGCCATCATCTTTATTCATGTTGGGAGAAACAGGAGATTATTTAGTCTTTCTTTATTCTGCAAATCAGAAAACAGAGGGTCCAAGAGGTTAAGTGACTTTACTTAAAGCTATTTATCTGTGGACATGAATGAAAACTCAGGTTTCCATATTGAGACCAAGTTGTTTTACCTTACTATTCAAATGTTCTCTTTCTATAACAAAATGAGGGATAAAAACTATAGGATCATTTCATTAGATGCAGAAAAAGCATTTGACAAAATGCAACATCTATTCATGATAAAAACTCTCAACAAAGTAGGTTTATACGGAACATATAACATAAAAAAGGCTATGTGTGAGAAATCCACAGCTAACGTCATATTCAGTAATGAAAAGCTGACAGCTCTTTTCCTAAGATCAAGAACAACACAAGAATGTCCACTCTCACCACTTTGATTCAACCTAGTACACAATCCTAGTCGCAGCAATTAGACAAGAAAAAGAGATAAAAAGGAATCCAAATTGGTAAGGAAAAAGTAAAACTGTCACTATTTGAAGATGACATGATAATATATTTAGAAACCCCTATAGAATTTACCAAAAAGCTCTTAGAAATAACAAAAAAATTAGTTAAGCTGCAGGGTACAAAATCAATGCACAAAAATCTGTTGCATTTTTATACACTAATGAACTACCAGAAAGAGAAATAAAGAAAGTAATCTCATTTATAATTGCACCAAAAATAATAAAATACCTAAGAATAAACTTAACCAAGGTGGTGAAAGACCTGTTACTCTGAAAACTTATAACCCACTGATGAAAACAATTAAAGAGAACACAAACAAAAGGAAAGGCATTCCATGCTCCTGGATCAGAATAATTAATACTATTAAAAGATCCATACAGCCCGAAGCAATTAACAGATTCAACGCAATCCCTAAAATACCAACAGTATTTTTTCACAAAACGAAAACAATCCTAAAATATGTATGGAACCATAAAAGACCCTGATAGAACAATCTTGAGAAAGAAGAACAAAGCTGGAGATATCAGTCCCAGACTTCAAACTATACTACAAAGCTAGAGTAACCAAAACAGTATGGTATTGGCACCAACACAGAAAAATCGAACAACAGACCAGGATACAGAGCCCAGAAATAAACCCATGCTTATATTGTCAACTTCTCTGTGACAGAGGAGGCAAGAAGATCACAACAGGGGGAAAGATAGTCTCTTCAATACATGTTCCTGGGAAAACTGGACAATTAAATGCAAAAGAATGAAATGGGGCCACTTTCTTATACCATACACAAAAATAAACTAAAAACGAATTAAAGGCCTAACTTTGAGAGCTAAAACCATAATGAAACTCCTTAAAAAACATAGGCAGTAATCACTTTGACATTGACCTTAGCACCATTTTTCTAAATATGTCTTCCAAGGCAAGGAAAACAAAGCAAAAATAAACTATTGGGATGACAGCAAAATCAAGGAAGGAAATCATTAACAAAATGAAAAGGCAACCTACTGAATTGAATGTGAGAAGATACTTGCAAATGATATACCCAATAAGGGGTTAATGTCTAAAATATAAAGGACTTATAAAGGCAACACCAAAAAACCTAAAATAATCTAATTAAAAATGGGCAAAGGACCTGAATAAACATTTCTTCAAGGAAGACATACAGATGCCAAAAGACACATGAAAAGATGCTCAACATCATGAATCATCAGGCAAATGCAAATGGAAACCACAATTCTTCTACCCGTCAGAACGGCTAAAATAAAAAAGACAAGAAATAACAAGGGCTGTCAAGGATGTGGAGAAAAGAGAACTCTTGCACACTATTTGTAGGAATAGAATTTGCTGCAACTGTTCTGGAACAGTATGGAAATTGCTCAAAAACTTAAAAATAGAAATATCATAGGATCTAGAAATTCCACTATTGGGTATTTACCCAAAGAAAACAGACATATTAAGTCAACAAAATGTATGCAATTCCTATATTTATTATAGCATTATTTACAACAGCCAAGATAGGGAACCAATCCAAGTGTCCACTGACAGATGAATGGATAAAGATGTGGTATAAATATATAATGGACTATTACTCATCTATAACAAAGGATGAGATCATGCCTTTGGTGACAACATGGATGGACCTAGAGGGTATCATGCTATGTAAAATAAATCAGAGAAAGACAAATACCATATGATTTCATATATATGTGGAATCTAAAAACCAAACAAATAAATAAACCAACAAAACAGAGTCATAAATATAGAGAACTAAGTGGTGGCTGGCAGAAGGTAAGGGGCTGGCAGGATGGGTAAAACAGTTCAAAGGGATTAAGAGGTACAAACTTCCACCTATAAATTCAATAGGTCACAGGGATGAAAAGTACAGCATAGGGAATATATAGTCAATAATATTATAATAATGTTGTATGGTGACAAATGGTAACTACATTTATTACGGTGAGCACAGCAGAATGTACAGAATTGTCAAGACAGTATCTTGTACCTCTGGAACTAATATTATGTCAACTAATCTCAAATAAAATAGAACAATTAAAATAAAATAAAGTATGTTTTCTTTCTGGCACTGTAAACTTCTTCCACTTCCATCTCATAAATCTTCAGAGGACAACATGTAAAAGATTCTTTTTTCAGTAACTGATGACAATAAATGCTTCTGTTGTTGTTATTTTGTATATATCATCAAAACAAAAATGTCGTATTTCCAAGGTTAACCTTCCAATGATACAGTTCGTTAAAAAGACCCCAAGTTTATAATTCATACATGCTTTTTGAGTAATTTGGGAAATAAAGAAACTCCCAATTCTATAATTATGAAAAGCAAAGGGCAACTATATCAAATGCATACAGAATGTTTATGAAATACTTCAGAGGAAAATAGCTATGGCTATACCTTGCAGATCTTTTTAAAGCTTAGATGGTTGAGAATGAGTTTCACCAGTGAATTCTATCAAATATCCTGGAAGACATTTTCATAATTACACTTTAGAAAAACAAAAAGCAAGAGATTTCTTTGGCATACCTGCTTGGTTGGGGTGTGGCCAGCTTGGTGACTTGACAATGTTAGCAGGTCCTGGAGGTTTGAAGGCAGCAGCAGTTGTGAGACCGGCCACCCCTGGTCTGGTGGAGGCTGGGCTCTCCCGCCTCTCAGGCATGCTCCGTGCTGAAGCTACTGATGGAGACAACTGCTGAGAAGTCTCCTGGGTGTTGCTAGAAAGAAAATAAGGAAACATTTTTGGTGAAGTCATAGCAAACTAACTTAGCAATGATCCTTTCTTTTCTCAATCTGTCAAATCTGTAAGGAAAACAAAAATATTAACTAACCAATATTTTAAAAAAGAAAAGCTCGAAAACTATGACTGAGGGACTGTCTCTCTTTGAAATGAACAATCAAAAACAAAAGAAAGGGAAGAAGTCAGATTACATTTGTTCAGTACTTTGGAAATTTTTTCTTTCTTTCTTTCTTTCTTTCTTTCTTTCTTTCTTTCTTTCTTTTTTTTTCTTTAGATTTTATTTATTCATTTGAAAGTGAGAGAATGAGAGAAAACACGAGATGTGGAAAGGTCAGAGGGAGAAACAGACTCCCTGCTGAGCAGGGAGCCTGATGCGGGACTTGATCCTGGAACTCCAGGACCATGACCTGAGTCGAAGGCAGTTGCTTAACCAACCAAGCCACCCAGGCACCCTGGAAAAATTTCCTTTAAAAGGTCTATTGTGAGAAATTAGGCAACTGAAACACTGTTACAGCCAATCCTTTCAAATAATATGGTAACTTTATCTTCCTATTCTTCTCTATCTCAATCTTTTAGAAAATCACCTACATTAAAACAACTAATGATTAGAGAATTCCTTGTGATCTCTCTGAAACGGCAGATGTTTTTTCCCTTCTTTCTCACATTCTTCTGGTATTTTATGAACTAAGTTACCCTGACATCTTACCACTCTTTTTACTCAATACTTAGTCACTCATTCATTGAACAAGTATTTAAGCACCTATGACATGCCAGACAGTGTGCTATGCACTGGCCACAGAATGGTAAACAAGAGACATCATCCCCAGCTTAACAGAACATCCAGTGTTCTGTATTCACAATACAGGAAAACAGGAGACAAGACGGCCATTGTCCTCACTCAGTCAGAGTTACTCTACTTGCTTAACAGGAAGCCTTATCTGTGCTGGTTCCAGTTTGATTTAGAAGATCTTTTTATTACCCAGTCACTTGTTACTTATAATTATACGTTGTCATTTCAAAAAAATAATCTTAGGTAGCTCAAATTATAAATGTGTACTTTGAAATGATATATTATAGAAGTTTCTCTCAGGTGAAGTATAACAATAATTATTATAACAACAATAAGAAGAATACATCCTACTAACTTCTGAACAGAAATCAAGGTACTGCTTGCTTAAATAACTCAATGCACAGAAACTCAAGTCCTTCAATAACTGAAAATAACAGCTGGAAGAGTAGATCATTAAAGATAGAATACTAATTAATGACCAGTAAAATAAATGTCCCTTAGTCGTACTATTTAGGTTGAGATTATTTCAACGAAAAGAGATTTCAAATTCAATCATGTCCTAAGAATACCAAATTTCTCCAATGCTCTTGAATCTGGGATAAATACCTAACAAAGGAGGCCTGAGGTTGCCTAGTCTTAGGAAGGCCTGCTTGCAAGGTTGGCCTCTAACGGGCATTTGAGAACTTGGCTGGTGAACAGTTCCCTACAGTCATATAAAACTTTCTCTAAAATGTAAGAGTAGCTCACTGTACCTAAGCTAAATAAACAATGTGGTTTATGCTAAATACCTACTTTCCTTCTGTGAGTTGGGACATACGGTATGAACTAGGCACCACGTGACAATATAAGGAGCCCCAATAAAAACCTTAAGTACTTTGTATCTAATGAGTTTCTCTGGTAGACAACACTTGGCATGTTTTATCATAACTCACTGTTGTAGGAATCAACATATCCTATGTTGAGAAAGGACTTTTGAAAACTTGAGCCTCTATTCCTCTGGACTTAATCCATGTACCCTCTCCCTTGCTGATTTTGCTTTGTATTCTCACACTATAATAAATCTTAGTCATTAGTACAACTATATGCCCAGTTCTATAAGTCCTCTACTGAGTGGGTGGTCCTAGAGCACTTCTGAAACTAAACAGTTTTGAAAAATCATACTAGAGCTTTTTTAACTTTCTTGAAATACTGCTTATTATTGTTCTCTCAAATTCAAATGTAACAAAGCTATAACCTTCTTTTATCATTTCTAATCAGTTTCATGAAAAACTAAAGTCCACTTGAGATGTTAGAACATACCATACAATGAAAAATTTAAGCACTTTAGTAACTGTTATAAATAAAAAGTAAAAGACTACTTACTTCATGGCAATGCTAAACACAATTATCAATAAAGATGACAGAATAAATAAAATTAATGGAAACAGAGTTTAAGCTTTATAGTAGAATGGTTGTGAGTAACTTTGAAAAGCTTTGTGATGAACTAATTATTTTACCTCTCTTAAGTCTCATTTACCTAAACTTTAAATGGGGATAATACTTTGCTCATAAGAGTTCCATGAGACTTAAGTAAGATAATTGTGTACAAAATACTTAGCATACTCTAAGGCACAGAATATGAGCCTAAACAGATGAAAAGGATAATTAATATATTCCAAAAATAAAACTTATTTTCAATATTCTTATATACTACAAATACATGATTTTTTAAAAATAATACAGAAGTACAGGTCATTTTAATTCTAAGGTTAATTCTAGGGCTCAGTAGATTAGAAAAAAATAACTAATAACCCATATATTCAGAGTTCTGAGAAGAAAATTTATGACCAAGGAACACTAGAAGTTACAAATGAAACAAAAATATAACCTGGAAATAACAAAGCCCTAATCAACATTTAATGTTTAACAACCTGAATAAGTTAAAATTTATCTCCAGGAGAGCTGGCAGATAGACTTACTTAAAAGAAAATGACTAGAATGATAGAAAATTAATGCCAAGTCCAGTCAAGTTTGGTTGAAGGAACTGGTAACATTGAAAAAAACTCAGGAGAAGCATTAGAGCAATCCTCAAATACGTGACATGTGGATTCACTCTATATGGCTACATTCTGTTTGCCTAATGTAGTGTCAAATCTATGGTGAGACAGATTTGGTTCAATAAAAGGAGGTACTTCCTAATATGAAAAATTGTCCAAAGGAAATATTCTGTTTCCTAATAATACCTTTGGTGACAGGCCTGATTCCAGAAGGTATTCAAGCAAATGAAGGAAAGGCTACAGACTGGATTTAACCATTTGAGGGTAGAGGGCTAAGATATAAGTTATACTTCAGCATGACATTCAAAGCCTTCTAAGATGCAGCTACAGTCTACCTGTCCAATCATTATCTCCTGCCACTTCGTGATACAAATTATGTGCTGGCCACACTTCTTCTCTGTCCACAATTCTCCATTTTTTCCAGGCTCTAAATAGAAGACACCTCCCCCCATCTCCCTCTGAACATATCCAAATACCATCTACAGTTAACAGTAGTAGTAAAAAATAGTATCTATCAAGCACTGTGTACCATACTAAACAATTAATATATTTTACTTAATCAATCATCTACCAGTAGAGACACTACTTCCTTTAGTTCATGACACAAATTAACTACATCACATACAGTTACATTTCAATTTGTAATAGCCAGGGTTTAAAAAAAAATAACAATAACTTCCTTATGTATCTTGTCTCCTGCACTACATTAATAAACTGAGACTGGGGACTCTACTGTGACTTTGGGTAGGTTACTTGAAGTTGATAACATTTCTTCATCTGTAAAATCAGATGAAAATACTACTTTTATTCTAAGGTTATTGTTAGGATTAAATGAAACACAATGAGATAATACATGTAATACAAGTAAAGTACTTGGCTCTATGCTAAGCCAGAGAGAAAAAAAAATGAAAAATCTGTCCACAGAACTTTGAAAGGTTTCGTATTCTCCCAAACAATGGAGAGTCTCTTCTTACACTTCAATTTTTACCTATACATATGAACATTTTATTTTATCCTTTGTATAGTCTTTATATTATATATTCTCTCCCAAAAGGACTAAGATGTCTAAATCTTAAACCGTACTCTTTAGATACAAAGTGTGTGCATTAGGTTATAACGACCTTATAAAATTCTAAATTATTAGCAAGAAAGTTGTTCCATTTATATTTAAATTCAGGACTGATGAGCAGAGTTCAACATTCTCAGAAGAAGTAAATCTCTATTTACTTAAAACATTTAATGTAGGAATGGAAGAATATTTGGTTTTACGGAGACAACCATATATCTAAATATGTAATGCCTAGGTCTCTAAAAGAGCTAACGTCTTTTTGCCTAATTTCTAGCATTAGCTACTATTTAAAGAAAATACATAAGCAACAGATATCATGTACTGAAGATTTAAGAATTAATGACATCATTGGCTATAGTATTTTATATTTGGGAATAAAATATTCTAATAACCATGAACAGCAAAAATATTTTGAATTAATGACAAATTTACTAATATAGCATGGCATGATTACTTAAATTGCTATCTTATTTCTGAAATCATGCTTCATATATTTTTTCTATATTTAAAATTTAAAAGGTTTCCTCAGGAAACCCAGCGTTCCTGCTTTCCAGAATGCCAACTCGCTTACTACCTTGTCAAAAATCATTTCCATTTCCCAAATACCGAAATATATTTAGTTTGTGCCTACTGCTCTTAATAAAAAGTGATGATAATGGCTACTAATACCTGTTCTATAAGCGGGTCCATGGAGAGCATCAATCAGGCCCTAACTACATGTACACTTTTTTTTTTTACACAAGAAGTTTATTTAAACAACAAAATGTTTGATTGGAAGGGAAAACTCAACTCATTTCTTTTTTCTTTTTTTAAAGATTTTATTTATTTATTTGACAAATAGAGATCACAAGTAGGAAGAGAGGCAGGCAGAGAGAGAGAGAGGAGGAAGCAGGCTCCCTGCTGAGCAGAAAGCCTGATGCGGTTCGATCCCAGCACCCTGAGATCATGACCTGAGCCAAAGGCAAAGGCTTAACCCACTGAGTCACCCAGGCACCCCAAAACTCGACTCATTTCTTTCAGAGGAATTTATCTCTACTTAAAGACAGATTGCTCTGTGTGTAAGAGTTATGTACAAAAATGTTATAAAATTGTCCTTGGTTTCCCAATAATAAATGAAAAACTTTAAGATTCTCCACTCAAGCAAGGTTTGCAAGAATTTTAATGTTGCTCTTTTTTTATTAAACAGTGAGTGAAAAGTAACTTACTAGAATATAAAGGTAAGAGATTAATGAGCATGCCACTAATGGAGATGGGGTATTCTCACACAACTGGTATTTTTCTCCATCCTATCTCCATTTTTCCCTATCTCATCTCCATTTGATATCCATCAAAACATACCACTGGCCATTTAGTTTTTTAAAAAATGCAATAGGTACTTTTCTGGAGAGATGTGAGCATTCCATTAGGTCCTCAAAGGGATCTTTTATTCCAAGTGTGGTCAGTAACCTGTCTCTGTATAGACTTAGCCTGGACGCTGAAAGATTTCTGCTCAATTAACACAATTCCACAAATGTAAAATAATGTCGAGTATCTTTTTTTCTTAGAGAAAAATGTACAATGATCTCTCTCTCCCTGTTTAAACATCTGCCTTATAAGTTACTCAGAATTTTAATTAAGTATATTGAAAACCTCCATGACAGTGAATGAATACAAACACATAATCAGTAGACAGTCTATGTTATATCAGGCTTTTACCAATTATAGCCATAGTTGTACACTCCACCATTAATTTTATGTTCCATCAGAGATGATTTTAAACAGTTATTTCATTAAGATTATACCTTCCATGAACACTTGGGATATTTTTATTTTTTATATATACCTAATAATTTTTGGCATAATTGTTAAGTTTAGGAGAAAAATTAATTTTGTGTTTCAGAATTTCCCAGATACGGTAAAAATTAAGTTATCTGTCCAAGTAAAACCCTCATATATAAGAACAATAAGTAGTAACCAATCAAAATGAATTATTTTATTATTCTTTTTCATTTTTTCAAAAGATATAAAGGTATGTCTTATTAAACATTTCCCTATTCTAGTATAGCTACCATCCATGCAATGAAACGGTTATACTGTAATTTAAATACTTGCTCAATTACTCATAATTTCATACTAAATATCAAGTATGGTAATAAAACATGTCACAAGGGGTTAAAAGGGGAGTCAATGATCATTTAAAATAACATGCTTGTCCATTAGCATTGTACTGAATTTACAGCTAGTTTAAAAACAGAACACAAATCCACTCTAGGACTTTCGCATCTGGCTGGTTAATATAGTGGTTAGGTGTTACAGAAAGCAGTGTCTTTTAGAGCAAACCACCACTAAGATACCTGCTCCACAGTACCTTATTTTCTTAACATGGATAGAGCCCGTTGACTTCCTCGAGGACTGGAGGTACGAAAAAGCTAAAGGCTTAGAAACAGGGCTGATGCAAAGTGCATCCAGGAGTGAGTGATATTTATCAGGACTGGAGAGCCTGGTGAACATTTAGAAAGATTTTTAAGTTGAAAAAAATCACACAATCAACAGCAGAAAGTAGTCTTGACAGTCTATGATTTGAAACATTTCCAGAAAAAGCTAGAGACAGATATTTTACAGACAGGCAGAAAGAACAAACCATAGAAAGAGGAGGAAAAGAAGGTCCAAGTACTCTATTACTTTACTCATTAATATAGAATTGACTAAATTTTCGCTAAAACTAGCCAAGACAATCTTATAGGAAGCATAAAACTTTATAAAGACTACTGGAAATTATATTTTAAAAATCTCATAAAAATAAAAAATTATTCTTTTTTTCGGGCAGAGGGATGTAGTTAGACTTGAGAACACCCTTAAATACAATCAGTTTGTGAGAGAAGAGGATATCAATAAGAACTTAAAATATCTACTGATAGTTGATTCTGTTCCAGAAATAAAAACTAAAAATTATAAAGGCCCAAATTCAATAAGCACATAACATGCAATAATCCATGCAACTGAAAAGCATCAAAGATAAATGGTAGTCATGGAAACAGATGAAAGGAAGATTTAAAGAAAAACTAGTAATAAACACTGAGAGCTATGTCTACAACCCAGGTAAAATGTCCACAACACAACCAAGATCTCATATTGGGCTGTGACTGTTTCAAATGGTTATGTATGCTTTAAGGGGACTTTTAAGACAGTGAAAAGTGTTGGAATCACACAAGACACACGTTGTACATACAGCTCTACCTGGTTTTTGCAGCAAGAGCAGCAGACACAGTAGCAGCTGCACTGCTAAGAACTGCAGCACTATATCTAGCAGGAGAAGAGAAGGGGGAAAAGTTTCGAAAACCTTCCAAAGACCTTGTCACCACATTTCTTGTGGAGCTTCTTAAACTGATACATAGGGAAAGAAAAAAAAAAAAAAAAAAGAGGGGAGGAACAAAAAAGAACAGTGAGAAAACGGAGCATAATAAAGATAAGATAGTAACTATCTTATATTCATATTTAGACATTAAAAGGTATGATACAGAAGTGTAATAAGAGTGCAGGTCATTTATTTACTGTTGCTATGATTTCTCTCAGAAATTAAAATCTGATATATAATGCTCCATAAAACTGATTTTTGAGATATAAATGCTTTTGGATGTATTTAACTTCAGTCTCTAATCCCATTTAAAGTTAAATCAGTATTATATAACACACATGTGAAGACTGATTTGTCAGCATCTAAGTAGAAAATAAATCTAAACATGAAGTCTGAATTTCCGTATTCAGAGAAAGGAGGGTTATGTCGATTTTTCTAAAAAGACTCTACATAAAGAGCTTTACCTTAGGGATAATATATACCCAGAGCCTGACATTTTAACGAGACTTGTGCTTTCAGGAGAAGCAGGTACAACCGACTGCCTATTCAGAAGCAGCAATACATACTAAAAGGAACAAACGGTAACTTAAAAATACTGAGAATAAACCAACTTGGGAAAGGAAAGCACCTTTGTAAAATAAACAGTAGTTAAAGTGAGTAAGACTAAAACATCACCCTCTCTGTTGATGTTCTACACCTCCACTTTCAGTTAGCTCTGTAAAGACTCAATGCTGGTATGAAATTTCATTCTCAGAACCCTTATGACTTAAAATAATAAATATTTTCCTTTTATCTTTTAGAAAAGGTCAAACACCTGCACAGAAATGAACATTCCATCATTAGTTATCAGCTTGAAATTGAGAAATTTTTTTATTAAGTTGAAAGTCTAAAATGCACAGCATGAAACCTATATAGTCTTTCCTCCTCATTTCTGCATGCAAGTCATTAATGAACATCCTCATCCTTCTATGACCACTTTTTTCACAATTTGTGACAGTGACCACCTCCAGCACAAAGTAATTATGTGCCAAACTCAACCCAGGTTAATGAGAGCTCAGACGTCTGAAACTGTGCGTAGGGACATAAGTCTTTTCTCCCCTTCTCAGAAGAATATAATTCATTATTCCTAGTTCCACTGGCTGTAGCTTTATAAACCATTAGAAAGTATATTAAAGAAACAGTGGTAAGCCATTTTTTAAAATTATACAGAATTAAGTATAGTTTTTCTGCAAGCCTATAATTGAACTGTATGGCTATGTTTTAGCAACTGTCGTGAATGGGTAGAAAAGAAAGAATGGGTCTGGAAAGAGAAAAGAAAGATGCTATCAGTGGCAGAGCAGGGTAATATGAGTGGCAAGCAATGTGGAAGAAAAAGTTACCAAGTGATTCAACTTTGAATTCTTCAATTACTTTGCATCTTTCAAGCAATGGCTACTATTTGGTGGAAGTGATGGCAAGTAACAACTAGAAACAACTTTATAAAAAAAAGTCAGCTCAAAGAAATGCAGCTAAAAAATAAATCAGTTAAATTGTCTTTCTCTCTTTAAAAGGAAATTGTAATGAATGTCCTTCCTTGTATTGTATCACAAATAATAACATTGTATAGTATCAGCAGAGATCTGTAAAATCTTCTAAGTAACCTGAATACCTTTAGAATATGTGTAGGCACTTGGAACATATGATCTCTATCACTCTTTTTTTAGAGGAAAATACTCTAACTCAGTAAAGTAGACTTAAAACAAACTCAAGAAAGTTGACTTTCCCATTTACAGTGAATAAATAGAAGGCATAGATTTCCTGACTCTATATTAGAATTTTGAATCTGAACAAAAAAAGACAGATATAAAAGCAGTGTAAAGCGGTGTTCCCCAGCTGAGTGCCAAAGTTTCTTGTCTATATATTAATAATGTCAGTTCTGTAATCTATGATCACTTGTTTCTTTTTAGTCAAAGAGTTTAAGTATTTAATTTCACCACCATCATTAAAATTTCAACATTCCACAAGGGAAAAAACTCTACCTAGAACACGCAGTTACTTTAGAAAGTGTGGCTACTTGGCTACCAATGTGTAAAACCTGAGGAGTTGCAGGTAGGTGAGGTCCACTCTGAGGTAGGTCTTCCAGAGAACTGTCAAACCTAAGTTTTCAGAAGCAAAATAAACAAGGCAAAGGAAATATTAATGAAAAATACATTTATCATCTATACCACCTTTTAAGTGCACACTGGTTCCTTTTGGGCAATACTCTAGTTCTGTGTTGTTGTTTTTTTAACTTCATATCTGCAGTAAGGTTAAAACCCAAACCAACACCTTCACCACCACCAAATATAAGCTCTTCCCTCCACCAATTTTTTTTTAACATGGCTACCTTCATGTGAGGGAAGAAAGGTGGATGGGAATTCTCACACACAGAGTCCCAATACAAAAGACTATGTATTTTGCATGCTTCAGGGAAGTTAGGCTCCAAGAAATTAATTCAGTTGTTCAATATTATATACCTTGTAAGTCAGATGGAATTTGAACCAGGCCTGTCTGTACTATTTCCACTACATAATGCTTTCCAGCATCTTGTGGGGTAGCTAGCTGCCTGAATGGTGCACTGCAAGAAAGCACTAAAAACCTCCTTCCAAGTCAGAATGCTGTGTTTGTAGATCTGAAATAATATGGATGTTGTTTATCTCCATGTAAACAAAGTAGTTTATCCAGTCCCACGACAAATGTTTGCATACAACTGTGTTGCTTTACTTTTTACTTTGTTTTTCCGATGTCTGTACCATTTTTTCTTCCGAATGACAGAATTAAATTTTAGAGCCATCACTAAGTTAAAAAAAAAAAAGGATGAAAAATTCAGTGTGAAGTTTGAAAAAAGAAAGCACCAAGCATAATATTTAGAAATACAAAATTGCCCATTGTTTAAAAAGAAAGCTATGGATTAAAAAAAAATAGAATATATCAGTCACGTTATACTGATTTTCAGAAAAGAAAATCTAACACTAAGATGAAAAAACAGAAAAGGAAAGGTTATATTCCCATTTTTTATTTAGCACTGGTCACATCTTTACCACAGAGTGTTGGGAAAATAAAATAAAAAAAAGGACAGACCACTTAAGAAAAATGTCATGTTAGAATTAAAGTATTATTTAAGAGATAGAGTTGAAAATGTTAAAAGAATAAGAACTGTAAGTCCTATAGCAGGGGTCAGCAAACCATGACTATCAGGCCAATTTCGCCCACCACTTGGTTTTGTATGGCTGATGAACTAAGAGTGGTTTTAAATGTTTTTGTTTTTTTTTAATGAAAAGAATAGTATTTCTTAATACACGAAGATTCTATGAAATTCAAATTTCAGCCACAAAGTTTTAATAAACTTTAAATAAAGTTTAATGGAACCCAGCCAGGTTTCTTCATTTACATATGTCCATGGCTATTTTCACACACTACACACAGAGGTCAGTAGTTGTGACAGCCCATATGGCTCACAAAACCTAACATATTTACTATCATAAACATATTTACGATCTTTACCAAAAAAGTTTACTGACCCCTCTCTAGAGGAAAACCTTTCTACAGAGTTACCAGAGTTCACTTTTGACAATACAAATCTGATCCTGTCTGCTGGATTTGCAGGACTGCTTTAGAGGTAACTGTGGTCCTGGGCTCCCTATTCTCCAGCTTTATCTTATAGAGCTTTTCCTTTTTTACCTGTGGCTTGCTGCAGTCCAACTGGTTTTCCATCTCTTTCTGAAACAGGCCAAGCTTCTTCCCATCTCAAGACCTCTGCATAGTCTCACTTTTTATGCCTACCTCTCTACCATACTTTCACTGGGCTAATTCCTAAGTGTCCTTCTGCCCTCAGTTTAAATGTCACCTCCTCAGGGAGGACCACCCAATTCCCCATATCACCCTAGGCTGCCCATGTCACATGCTTTCAAAGTACCCTGTACCTTTTCTTCACAGAACTTACTTGTTATTAATGTAATCGTATAGTTTGTATGGTGATTTAATTCCAGACTCCCTCACTAAATTAGAAGCTCTGCGAGGTCAGAGACCATATGTTTAATGGTACAAATGAAGTGTAATAAAGTACTTAACCACAAAATAAACAGTAAATATTTGTTGAATGAAAGCATGAATGAAACTTATTGTTTTCAAATACAGAAATCACTCACAATATACATATATTTCTTAGAAAATATCTGTACATTCTAGAGACTGGAGACTGTCTAGCAGTTCAGGTTAAACAGGTACTATATTACTACCTAAGCCAAGAAGGGGCATATGATCAACCTCTAAGAAATTACTAGACTTCCAAAAATACCTCTAAAAATGTCCTTCACAACATAAAGAATTATCAATATTCTAGAAAAAAGAAAATATAGTTATAAAGAATTATCAATGTCTACATACTACTATATAATGAGGAGAGGTAAGAAAAGGGAGTAAGCTGGAGTTCAGTCTTCCAAAACCTCCATGCACTATGTTGATTGGAAAAATGAGTGCCACTTGAGAATAAAGTTCACACAACTCATGAAATACCTTCTAAAGCCGGATTTCCAAGTTTCCAAACAAATGCACTTGGCAGGTTTCCCATGTCTCACACACACTCATTACCTATCCCTTTGCTTAACCAACCTCTAAAAATACCAGACCTAAGAAAATCTTAAACTACCTCATTTAATATGGAACACACATCAATATCTGCTCTAATTCTGTCATTCTCTAATATTTATTCCTTTTAGGATTGGAAGACGCTCTAATTAATAGCACCTCTACAGCAGCCAAAACTCTCTGCTTTGTCTGTTACTTAAGTGAGTTTTCATTTCTTACCAGAGAGAGGTATGAAGACTTTATCCTTCCCAGATATGTCTGGAGAGCTGAGCTTGCAGCCTTTTGGCCTGTTTTTCTCAGAAAAATGAACAAAGAACTATTGTGCATTATCTTTCTCGGCAATTGTGTCTTTCCGTGCTTTCCAAAGGGGACCCATGCTAGCAATCTGTCCGGGCAAACAGGCATGATGCTGCTCATCTTACATTCACCATCCTACAGAACAGGGAATGGAACTATTTTTCTATGCCCCAGGAATGACAACTGTCAAAAAGCAACATCCTTATGCTGTGGACTCCATCTCCTCCCTTTTTCTCAGGTGCCTCAACTGACCTATCTCCTTTGCATTTTCTATTCTCCTTCTCCACTGCATGCTTTGAGTCCCCATTCAAAAATACTGTAGGATAGGTTCTCTTAAAAAAAAAAAATTACAAAAAAAAAATTACAAAACAAAACAAAACAAAAAACCATACTACCACCAACAAAACGCACTTCCCCTTCTATTTTCCTATCCCCATTAACAGCCAAAGGGAATAATAGTTTTACTCTAGAAACACTATCAGTCTTCAACCAGCTCAAGTGGGCTTCATCCTCCAGCCCTGATAATACCTTATTCTTGCAAAAGTCACTAATGATCTCTTTGTGGCTAAATTCAATTGACAATTTGCATTCCTCATTTTCTTTTTATTGTGGTAAAAAAGACAATATAACAATAATGTGGATGGAACTAGAGGGTATTGTGCTTAGCGAAATAAGTCAATCAGAGAAACACAATTATCATATGATCTCCCTGATGTGAGGAAGTTAAGAGGCAACGTGGGGGGTTCCAGGGGTAGAAAAAGAAAAAATGAAACAAGATGGGATTGGGAGGGAGACAAACCAAAAGAGACTCTTAACCTCACAAAACAAACTGAGGGTTGCCGGGGTGAGGGGTGAGGGGGGTATGGATAACGTGGTTGGGTTATAGACATTGGGGGAGGGTATGTGCTATGATGAGTGCTGTGAAGTGTGTAAACCTGGCTATTCACAGACCTGTACCCTGGGGCTAATAATACATTATATGTTAATTAAAAAAATTTTAAATTAAAAAAAATAATAATAATGAAATGAGAGGAAAAGTAAAAAAAAAAAAAAAAAAGACAACATAAAACTTACCATCTTAACCATTTTTAAGTGTATAGTTCAGTAGTGTTAAGTATACTCATTGTGGTCAAACAGACCTCCAGAACTTTTTTACCTTGCAAATCTTAAACTACATCCATTCAGCAACAACTCTTTTTCCCCACTGCCTACCCTCTGGTGACCACTACTTTCTGTCCCATGAATTTAACTTCTTTAATACCACATACAGGTGGAATCATACAGTTTATCTTTTTGAGTGCAATCCTCATTTTAATCTTGGTGTAAGACCCAGCTGACCATTCCTCTTCTCCTGTCTTCAGTGCCTGTTTTTAGCACTATTTTACTGGCTATTCCTGATTGCAGGATAGGAAAGTTAAAGTTCTCCATCAGTAAGACAATTTCAAAATGCTAATCTGGCTCATCCATTTTGGAGTTATATGTAAACTATGTAAGAATAAATTTGTCACAAAGGCTAACCTTTAAAATATGTGAAAAAGAATGTAGAAACTTTCTTTTGCAGCATAAAAACTTCAAATTTCCAACTAAAAACTTCAAAGCCTCCTCACTCTCTTTATAAATATCACAAAATAACCAAATAGAGTGACTGATTTATTACATCCCCATATGGCAATGAGAGGAGAAATCCAACACCTTAAAATGTGTATTTTATACCAGGTAAAGGAGGAAAATGACAACTGTCCTTTGTATTTTCACTCTTCCACAAGCAAACATTCATACAATAACACTGCTCAGCAGAAAATGGAATATACAAGGATCACACCTGATTTCCGTACTTTCAGGGTTCACTGGCACAGCAAAGCTATTTATTTTACCCAAGGAAACGGCTAGTTGTCTGGAAAATGGAGTCTCTTCCACTGGCTTACTGACAATAAAAACTGTCAGTGTGTTCACTTGTAACTAGGATTTCCCTTCTGCAAAATTAAATCAACTGAACTTCAGCTGGAAATTTCTGGCACTCTTAATCACAGGCCAAATGAATTAATTGATTTCAATAGCCTTTGTTTCTGTAGCAGCCTAAAAACATTATTTAACCCTGCTAATTCTACATTACAGATGGCACCTTACAGAGAGCTTAAAAATCTGCAAGTAGGGGCCTCCTTGCTTTTTACACATGGGGAAGCAGAAAGGACTGAATGTTAGATGTAAAAAGAAGATTATGAAATAAATGATC